AAAAAAAAAAGAAAGAGAAAAAGAAAATTAAAAAAATAAAATTAAAATTAAACAATTAGCCAGGTGTAGTGGCACACACTTGTAGTACTGGCTACTCTGGAGGGTGAGGCTGAGCCCAGGAGCTGAAGTCTGCAGTGAGCTATGATCACGCTACTGAACTGCAGCCTAGGTGACCGAGTGAGACCCTGCCTATTAAAGAAAAAGAAAACTTTGGGCAACACATTGTCACATCAGCGGCGCGAATCAGACACGCTGGAAAAAGCCGACCTCGGCTTCCTGTCAGTGATGCGCCAGGCGCACCGCCAATCTCACCTCTGTGTCCGTGAAATAGCCACTGTTGGTCCCTGCGCTCACCTCAGCATCAGCAGTACACCCAGGTGTGGTCCTGGTCGTAGTTGTGAGAAGTTGCACACCACACAAGGTCCTCCTTTGATCCTTTGTTAGTGCAGTTAAAATAATTCTTGTTTTTGTAGTTGAATGGAAAGTGGCAAGGAAAGCCGGGGAGCAGTGCGGAAATTCCTAGGAAGCGGAAGGGATAAGACAAAGGTTAGTCCCCAGGTCTCCACACTGTCATAGAGGCATGCACTTCAGGCACACCCTAGATTCCAAACTGGGGTTGACTGTGGTGGTTTGCACCTTTAATCCCAGCACTTTGGGAAGTCGAGGCAGGAGGATCACGTGAAGCCAGGAGTTCAAGACCAGCCTGGGCAACATAGCAAAACCTTGTCTCTACAAAAAAAAATTTTTTTAATTAGCTGGGGGTGGTGGTGTGTGCCTGTAGTCCCAGCTACTCAGGAGGTTGAGGTGGGAGGATTGCTCGGGGCTGGAAGGTCGGGGCTGCATTGAGTCACAATTGCACCAGCGCACTACAGCCTGGGTGACAGATGGAGACCCTGTCTCCAAAATATAAAAAGTGGCTGGGTGCAGTGGCTCATGCCTTTCATCCCAACACTTTGGGAGGTCGAGACGGGCAGATGACTTGAGGTCAGGAGTTCAAAACCAGCCTGGCCAACACAAAAATTAGATGGGTGTGGCAGCGTGTACCTGTAATCCCAGCTACTTAAGAGGCTGAAGCAGAAGAATCACTTGAACCCAGGAGGTGGAGATTGCAGTGAGCCGAGATCACACCACTGCACTCTAGCCTGGGCAACAGAGTGAGGCTCCATCTCAAAAATAAAATAAAACAAGATATAAAAAGTTTAAAAAACTGAAAAATAAAATCTGGGTAAACACCGCACATAACAGTGCTGTCTGGGCACTGCTCAGAATACTTAAACCTAAACAAAAGAAGAATTTTGCATGGCTGGATTTTCTTCCCTCAGAGCTATCAGAGTGTAGGACTTGAGAAAGGCTGGAAGATAGGGCAGAGCACTGGAGCAGGGAAGAAGGGCGGAGTGGAAGCACATGGGGCCCTGGGGCCAGGAGGGAGAAGGATGTGGAAAGCAAAAGTTCCTCTTCAAAGTTTCCTTTCTTGTTAAAGAATAAATAATAAGTGTGCTAATAACTCTTTGTTACGCCCTATCCTATGTAGCTGTTAGACATGCCATTCTTACAGGCACGTAGTACATTCTATGCCCTTGTGCTTGAACCAAGATATCTGTGCTGGACATGCTCACAGGCATGTCCCAGCTCTCCATTGCTTTTAAAAACGCTTTAAGTTGTGAGCCAATTGGGTTTTAGTTTAAATTGTAAAGTCTGGCTCCAACCAATGGAGATCAGACACAGCAGTAAGGACGACCCACAATGTGTAAGGGATAAATATGTCTGCTTTTTCTTTGCTCATTGTACTGTCGTGACAAGGTGGCTATACCCTTCCTGCAGTCCAGGAAGTAAAACTTGCGATGCTGAAAGATCCTTTGTCCTGGTGCTGATTTTTCTTTGCAGCATTGAGCGGCTGTCTCCAACAAGGAGAACGTTGGTCACCGGGAGGACCTGGCAGGCAGAGGATTTGTCTCAGAGAACCGATTTCAGTGTCCTCATCTTTCGTGGATTCCACAGGTGCAAATGCACCTACTCACTAAACTTTGTCACTCACAAAATCAGTACTCATGATACTTCTGCGGCCATTTGCGGACACACACACAGACTGAGGACGTTTGACCTGAGTCTCCCAACACACATGTTCTCAGCCGAGGGGAAATGAGGGGGCGCTCTTTCAGCTCTTTTCAGCTCTTGTTCTGTGAGCTGAAAGGAGCCGAAAGAGCGTCCCCTTGTTTGGCAGTCTAGTACCATGTTTCCAAATGTTTGCACCTCTTGTTGGGTGATTTCACTGTTGGTTTGCTTATTAATTTCTTTTAGGGGCAAGGTCTTACTCTGTCACCCAGGCTGGAGGGCAGCGGTGTGATCATAGCTCACTGCAGCCTCAACCTCCCAGGCTCAAGTGATCCTCCTGCCTCAGCCTCCCAAGTAGCTGAGACTACAGGCACGGGCTATGACCAATATATTTATTTTATCAACTAATATATTTCTTTCATTCTTTCTTTCCTCTTTCTTTCTTTCTATCTTTCTCTCTTTTTCTTTCTTTCTTTCTCTCTCTTTTTTTTTTTTTTTTT